CTTCTCTGCTCCTGCCTTCCCTCTCTCGTAGAAATGCAAATTCCGCGGGTGAGCATTAAGTGCGGCTGCGAAGAGCGATGGACCGCAGCGTCTCCGTATGGACCGCGACGGCGATGCCATTGACGACGCTCGACTGCTCGGTTTCATATCCCGTTCTCCCGATCGCTTGCAGATTTGCCCATACGTTACGTGTACACGCAGAGCCCTCCTGTCAACCTCCGCCACGCACCATGCAGATCGTGGAGGTTGCACGGCCACGCTTTGCCACGCTCGTCAATGCGGGTTGCAGCAGGAGGTGAGAATACAGTTGGCAGCATAGAAGTACAGCACAACAACGGGCTTTGTTGCACTGCCCTCGAATGACAATGCGGCCCTGCAGCCTATAGCTCCAGTTTTATGCATGGTGGTTGCACAGCCAAGCACTACGCAGGCTGAACCCTACCTAGTTTATGAATGCTGTTGAGCTCTGCAAGTGCATACCAGGTCAATTATTACAAAATTAAATACAGATTCATAAACAATTTCTAACGAGTAAAAATGTTCGACTTCTGCTCAGCAGCAAGGATCTATGGTGAGATGTGTTATCTAAAATGGCACAAGCAATGCTTACCTTGCCTAGGAGTATGCTACGTATGTGTTATTTACATTGCTAATGGTCCAGATTAACGCCGGAGTGGCAGCCAAAGCAATGGAAATGCGTCCGAGAGGACGTCCAACGTTGAGATGGAGCAACGGCATCAGTTCGTGCGCAAGTGCTCGGTGGACTATTGCATTGCAGGATCGTGGCGAGTGACGGGTGGAGGCCTTCGTCCAGCAGTGGATGGCTGATGACAATGACATTATGCGCTACACTTGTAACCATCACAGTGTCCACAACAACACTGATTTGAAGGAAGAAAAAATGAAATAAACCCACCCCAAATGTGCATTATTTATTCAGTGCAGCGTCGTCAGTTCATGCATAATCCTCCCAATCCACGGACGCGATTAAATTGCAAAAGAGCACAGGTGCACATCCATTTGCTACAGCGGAGGCTAATTGGTCACGAAGAGACACAAGGAAATTAATGGGTCTGCAAAGCTGTGTCGGAGGCAGCGCACATTGTTATGCCAAACCGTACTCTTCATCTGTGTTCAGGAATCATTTAAAAGCTTTCGATAGATGCACGGGCCCATGTACCGACCCAGATGATCAATAACAGTCATCCCTACAGAGACCCGAATGACCAACCGCATCATAGCTTACTATGTCCACCATCGTGTTATTTAATTCGCTGCAATTGTGAGCAGGGTGGCTGCCGTTTAACAAGATGGGTTTGAATTTGAGGGGTGGCAAGAACTTGCAGTTACTAAGTCGCAAATCTGACTCTCGCTGGGGACAGTTTTTAAGGACAATAATTGGAAAAGTCGGATTTGCGAACATCTATTGAAAATTCGAGTTGCGCCATGCCCAGTTGGTCAAGCGGATATGTGATGGTCGGATAAGCAACATTTGACTTTACATTGCACGGGTCAGAGCGGGTTAAATTGTTCAAGCCTTGCCCTGAAGAGAAAAAACAATCTCCAAACCTACAAGCAGAATTCATACTGGAATCAAAAATTCCTCGGGACGGGTAGGAAGGGCTTTGCGAGAAACTGTAAGGCATCCCTTTTGATGGCATGTGAGACCCGATTGTTGTGGGTCGTTGTTAACAAGGCTAAGAAGAGGCTTTGCTCTCGGCTCCGCAAGGAGGGCACTTTTCAGAAGTGGCGTTAACGCTCTACGACAGGTGAAGAGGGAGGAGGCGTAGTGTGGGAACAGGCGTAACCCGGATTCCCCGTGTCAGTGTGGGACATCTCAGGTGGCGTAGCGCGGTTGGCATGGGTCCTGGTGCGGGGAATGACACTTGGCCCTCCCCCAGTCGAATATTCCCCCTCTTGTAGCTGAGCACCTCGGGCCAGTGGGCCCTGGTGCGGTTGCACCGCCTGTGCGCTCAAAGGCCCCGCACACGACACGACCCAGGCGGCAAGGCGGGCGGCGACCACCATCGTAACGCTCGCACCGGCGCGTCCGCTCGCGCCATCGACCGTGCGCGTCACGCGTCGCGTCGACTACAAGCCCCGTCTTCACCGCCACCACCACTGGCCCTGGTCCACCCTGCTCTGTCTGTGGTGACCCCGGCAATGCAGCAAACAGCACGGGCACAGACATCACGGCGACGAGACCTCAAAGCGAAAGACACGATGCAGAGTGGACAGGAACTTGCAGCGATGTCCTGGAAGTCCTGATTTGAGTACGTTTAGCGGGCGGGGACGTAAAAATCAACATTAAGCAGCGTCGATCTGCGTTTATGTGTGCCGTCATAAAAAATTAACGGTTTCACCAGCGGCACAGCGTGGTTGGCATAGGCCAGGGGTCGGCAACCAAAATAACAAGAAGAGCCATTTCTTTCCAATTCGGTACAAAATTCAGTATTTCAAGAGCCGCAATGCATCTGAGTACATACTGTACTCACGTACATATCGTCAAGAAGCAGCCCGTAAAGAGCCGCATGCGGCTCCGGAGCCGTAGGTTGCCGACCCCTGGCATAGGCCCTGGCGCACGGAATAAAATCGCCCCCCCCCATCCCGCCCCCTCCCCTCTCCCCTCTCCGTAGCCCCCCCGCGCTTTGGCCCCTCCAACCCACGGGGCCCAGGGCAGTTGCACCGCCCTGCACCAGGGAGAGTTACGCCGTTGCATCATTGCGAAAGAGTGTACCTGCAGCATACGGTCTAAAGAGCGTATCAGCCAGGCTCGTGTTTCATTTCCTGGTGAGATAGGCGAGGGGGTTTTTGTTATATTTTGTCGCATGCGTGTCAGCGAACGCACGGGCTGCATTCTGCAGTGACGCGGGGTGGGGGGGTTATTGCTACAGATAACAAAGGAGCAGCCTTCTTGCGAATTGTCTTCGGGTGGCCCACAGGTGAAATGAGGAAACTCGGCCACGCAAACAGGCACGCGGGCTATCTCGTATACCCCCCACTCCCACTTCCCCCCGTGGACATATTCACCATTTGCTTTGGGGACAATTGCTCTGACAGCACTTTTAGACGAGAGGAGCCATCAATCAGCCCAACTTTAGTTATTTCTATCACTTAGAAATGTTCCTAAATTTGACAGTGACGGAGGCTCACGGTGATCGGACGTTTATCAACGATGGCTTCTGTACGTCACAGGAGCTTATTGCTTGCAAATCGACAGATGGTATGCGGACTTAGTCGATATGAAGAGATGGTAGGTTATACAGCCCCGCGGCCAATGCAAATACAATGTGCAACTTCTCGGCACTATCCCTACCAATGTGCATGAGCGGCAAGTCTTAAGGTCACTTGCCAAAATACACCATCTGCTCGCGAGGGCATTAAAGACAAACCCTGTGGCATCTTTTCCAAACAAACAGCAATGTGTGTTGTTGGTATAAGCCAATTATTAAATCTGACAATTACCCACACCCCAATAACAAAGCCCTTTCAAAAAGCTGTGGGTTAGCCTACAAATCAAAATAAACAGTTTAACTTGACAGCAGTATTTGCACAATTATACGACGTGTATTCTTTCTAGATTTGAAGCTTTCGTGACTGCAAGGATTCATACTCTTTGGCTTTTTCGGTAAAGACACGTAGGTAAACATTTAAATAAATGAAAACAACTAAATTAAATCACGCGTTTCGGGCACAACACAAGCGTCCGTCATCAGGTGGGAAAGCATGGTCTGCTGCTGATGTAGACTGTTTTAATTTTATTTTATTTTTTACCGACGTGACTTTACCGAAAAACCAAAGAAGACGTGCATTCTTTCGTGCGTAATTTATGCGGCAACCCTGTATTGGTTCGAAATCCAGCTGATGGCTTCACGAGACGGCGAATGAGGCAGTTAATGTATTGCACAGTCAGAACAATTGGACAACTGTGGCAGGATAGATTCCAACCCCACTAGGTACGATGAACTGTTGGCTCAATTGTTGGTAGCGATTACCTATTAAGGTCAGAATGGCAGACTTTGAGATTTATTTGGTGTGCCCAGCCCCATCACATGTGCCATCCCTCCCATGCCATCTGCCAATGTTAGGCACACCACATCATGTACTCATTTCTGATCGAGTCAACCTACAGGAGGCTCAGGTCAGGTTTAAACACTGAATTACCAATGTGTTTGGACTGCTGACCATCATGGCCAGGACCTTAACCGGGGTGGCTGAGCTTGTAAGACAAATACACACAGACAGACGCAACACCTGAGTGTTTGCCACTGAGAAGTACTGGTGATATAATCAGAAAATGTGTGCCAGGATAGGTGTACATTGAAGCCACACGCAGGTCCGATTGGAGGGTCACAGGACAGACCCATGGCAATTACATCTCCTGCAATGCCAACCGTGCCAAGTCCTATTTTAATAATTCACCAAACGACTGCCAGAAAATAACACGCACATCGATACAATAACATCCCCAAGTTTCCGATTTAAGCGTATGAACAATAAACTCAAAAGCGCTATTCTGGAAGCATACACGCACGGGTGTGTGTGTCAGTGTGTGTATATACAAAAGGATATACACACAGACCCTTGGGCACAGCCGCTGGCACCCAACGCCAAATGATAACGGGCGCTGCTGCAGACGAACGCTGTGGTCGTTGCGTGGCCAGTACCACGCCCGGCCGCTTTTGTGAACACACAGCGCCAAGGTACTATATATATAACTCATTAAAGGCCGAGATAGAACACAAGTTCTCGACACAACTCAGGTAGCGCACGGTTCGTCGCCCAAGGCGCTGAACCACCGCGAACACAGCCCAACTGCACGTTGCCCCGCACCTCCCATTAATTCGCACGGTTGGCTGCGTACGGTGCGAAAGAAGTGCAACATACATAGAGGATTTGCTCGCCGTTACGTTGTTTATTTCTTCTTATCGCAGAGCCTTTTGGCTTGCGCAGAATTCCGGCTTCGCGTGGCCGCGTAAAACCCAACTCGGTCCGCTCACCTGTGACATCTGCGGGCGGAGGTTGATCTCCTTGAGGTTGATGGACTCCGGGTTGAGGTTGTGGAGCAGCTGGCAAAGTAAGACTCCATCTCTGAGCGCTTGGGCCAGATCGAAGACCTCGTCGGAGCGGGTGACTCGATGGCTCACGGGAAGGACCTTGCAGTCGATCAGCCATCGGCAGCATTGCCTCCACTCCTCCATGCTGGCCAGCGTGCGATGATGCTGATGATGGTTGTTGGTGGTGCTGGTGGAGTAGGAGGGGATGGAGATGTAGGGAACGAGGGAGGCTGGCAGGGGGGGGGGGGTTATTGATGGGATGAGTTAAGAAATGTTTAACGGATGATGACGCGAAACTGCGATTCCCGTTCGTCTGCACCACACCCGAGCCCCCTTTCGACGCAGTTAATTAGTGGAAGTCTTCTTCTCGCGTTTGTTGAGGGGGATCTTGCGTCTGTCGACAGTGCGCGTTGCAGATTGAGTGTTGGTGTTCAGCGTTGAGCTTCCGGTCAGTCTTGCGGGGCGAGTAAGATTCTGTGTCAGTGCGGTTGAGTGCAGCGCAGCAAGTGGGACCGCGAAATGTTTTCCCGAACAAAAAAAGTTTTCGCTTTTTGCCGAGTCCAAACCCGGACGAGCGCAGCTTCGCGTCCAAGTCTTCAGCGCATCCCGTCCGTCGTAGACGACTCCCGGTGATGGGGTCGTCGATTAACACATACAAGGGAGAATCAGAGAAAACCTCCAAATGTTGAAGTTCACTCTTCTCGCGGTTGTGTCCCGAGCGGACACTCGCAAAGACTGCTGCAGTGAGCGCGCGTGTTGTGTGCTGTGGTGTGTGTGGGTGGTGTTGGTTGGTGTTGTGTGGGTGGTGTGGTCTGTGTGTGGTGTGGGTTGCGTGTGGTGTGGGTGGTGTGTGTGATGTGTGGTTTGTGTTGTGTGTGTGTGTTATGTTGGTGGTGTGTCCGTGTTGTGTGTGGTGTTGTGTATGGTTTGTGTGTGTTGTGTGTATGGTTTGTGTGTATGGTTTGTGTGTGTGGTGTTTGTGTGCGTGGTGTGTGTGGTGTTGGTGATGTTGTGTGTGGTGTGTGTTGTGTGGGTGGTGTGTGTGTGGTGTGTTGTGTGGAGTGTTGGGGCAGGCTGTAAGTAGATCTAAACAAGCTTGCCTGTTAGTCCACACACACACCCCGCGGCTTCCTCCTGAAGTCCACTTTCCCGTGGCAAGAAGCAGCAGCAGCAGCAGCAGCAGGCGGAGTGAGTTATTCACGCGCACGGGAGGATCTTCTTCTCCTCCTGCTCGCACGGAAAGCGGCACGGGCGAGACGAGACGGCCTCCCGATCTCTCCGGGCGCCTTTATGACCGGCGCATCGTCGCCGAGGAAAGCGAGGATGATGAAAGCGAGGAGGAGGAGGAGGCAAGAGTCACGTCGAGAAGAAGTGATGTCGCTCTTGCCGGAGTGAGTTGACGGTGGCGCGTGGATGGATGTGCCGCTAGCAGCACTTGCCCCAACACTCTGAGTCTATGCGGGGTGGGTGGTGGTGGTGTTGGTGGTGGTCTTTGTCTATGGGTGGATGATGGCTGAGAGAGCAAGACAACCACCACTGTACTGCAGAACCATCACCAACAGCGGCAGCAGCAGCAGCAGCGGCACTTGGATCGCATCTCTCCAGACTGGGCGGGAGAGTGGGTGGAGGATGGGGGAGCGGGGAGGGAGCGGGGGGGAGGTGGGGGCTGTGGTGGGGGGGAGGTGATGGGAGGGCGTGGGGGGAGGTGGGGGGGAGGTGGGGGGGAGGGCGTGGGGGGAGGTGGGGGGGAGGTGGGGAGTGTGGGGAGGGGGTGTGGGGGGGAGGGGGTGTGGGGGGGGGTGTGGGGGGGGAGCTTCCCTCTGCAGGGCGAGGGACAACGCCAGGGACGAGGGGTGGTGGTGATGGGAGCGGCGTCACGGCACGGAGCGGCAAATCAAGAGCGGAGTCTGCAATGACGATGGAAGCGAGGGGGGGGGGGCGCCCCCACCGATCATCATCGTCGCGTCGCTCGCTCCGCAGTTGCTGGAAACGCGTCTCCCCCCCCCCCCTCTGTTGGTGTTGGGTGGGGAGCGGTGGCGCAGCGGTTAGCGCGCTGCGCCGACGAAACCCGCACGGGTCCAACCCCGAGTTGGTTGGATTCTCGGCTCACGATCACCAGCACCGGGCGGACGATTGTTGAAGCGAGGTCCTGGGCCTCCCCGAGGTCGACTCAGCCTTAAATAAGTGCACGGGGCATTGTGTGTGAACGTCGCCACGAGGGAGACAAAGGCGGCCCCGAGGTGGGGCTGGCCACCAAGCCCGTCTCGTGTAGCGTGCGGACCTCAAGAGAAGCTAGCGAACAGCATTTGCCCCAACAGTCTCATTGTGTAAAGGCGAGACGTCTGTGATGCACGTCTATAATGGTCAACACGTTTGTGTATTTGTGCCCGTACCGTGTCTCTTGCGTGTATTTTGTAGGCGCGTGATACGAAGAACAGTCATTCGAAGTGAAGCAGTAAAGATTTGCCACCTGAGTTCGATCCCTAACCACAGCCAACGCCAGTGGCACCCGACTCCCCCAGAGCCTTCAACCAGCGCTGACCAGCCTGGTGAAGTATGGACATCACCGACAGCAGGACGTTGGGAGGGTTTTTTTGTTTGTTAAATCCTTATTTCAATCTATAGGGTTATGAATTATTGAATCCGTGTTCCATCAGGAACACACAGACGGTTGTGAGTTATGTAAATGCTATGATATGCAGTATTTGAACGGCCTAGAATGCTGCAATTTGGCACTCAGTCGATGCTTACTCGTAGAAACAATATACACAATACTATATCAAATTAAGAGCAAGAATTGTAAAAAAAAAAATAGCATACAGTGCCAAATTTTCGTGTGATATTTCCGACAGTACATCATTGTATCCGTATTTGTTAAAATGCAAAAAAGTGGGCAAAAGTCCTCTACCAGTTGCGAAAATCATTTCCGACTATAATCACCCAGATTTGTCTGTCCGTCCCGCGCGTGACGTCACTCCACATGAGGCCCCCCCCCCCCGCGTGACGTCATTCCACATGAGCCCCACCCCCCTCATTAATATTCATGCGTGTGTGGATTGTTACACGAACGCAGAGGAAGGTCGAACTGAATTAAATAATGTATTACGCAAAGTCGCTTCAAATATGTTTCTTCACAGTGTAGGGGTGTTAGAGAGAGAGCCGTTATGCATGGCAGCCTATGGTAAACAAACACAGTGGGCGGGGCTACGTAAGTGCACGGGGAGGTGCCCTCTACGACGTCCGAGCCAGGCACCCTGGGGGGGGCTGGTTCGAACGTTATGGCCCCACCCCTCAGGGAAGGGTTGGGTATAAAAGGGGATGTATCAAAGGGCTCGGGAGTCAGTTAAAAGCTAACCAGAGAAGACTGAAGACGTCTTAGATAGAGCCCTGGACTCCCCTAGTTCGATGTCCTTATCAGGGCCGAACAGGACTGAGCCAGCGGCGTGGTCCCGAAAGCCAGAGCCAGTGCTCTTGTAAGAGCTGGTCTGGGACTCCGGGTACCGGGCCCGACTTACCAGTGTCGGGCCAGATAGCCTCCCCTAGCCCCATAGTGGAGGACTCGGGGGTAGGACGGGGATAGCTAGGGGTGTATTCCTAGTTATACGGGTGAGGGGGCCGAATACCCCTCGAGTGTTATATGCCCACTGTTGTACTGTAAAATAAATACACGTGTGCCTCCATCTCGGTGTCAAGCGTCCTCACCGGTACTTCAACAGAAAGTGACGGTAAAAAATAAATCTATGCAGCACAGTGATACATGCGTGCGTGACGTCACTGCAAAAAAGCCCCCCCCTTCATTAATATTCATGCCCGTGTGTGAAAATGTACGTGACGTCACTCTACATGCCGCACCCCTCCCCAATAACCATTAGCGGATGACGTCGCTCCACATGGGGCAACCCCCCCCCCCCCCCTCATTAATAATCATGAGCTGAACAATTTTTCTGTTGAATATTTCACATTTACTGCAATATACACCCGTCCTTGGACGGGCAAGTATAACAATAACAATCTTTGTTTTGCTGGAATTTGTTGGTGGCCATGCATGCGAGGTAGCCAGGGTTGGTGAGTCACAAAACAGATGTTGTGAAACTCCCAATTCCTGTGGGCGTCCTAGGATAAGCCGTACCCTGGCTCGCCAGGAGAAGGCAGTACAGCAAAGGGTGGACTACAGTTATACGTCCCATCTGTTATTTTGAGTTATGTATGTAGGGGGGTCTTAAACTATGAACACATTTTTTTTAATTTTACCATAGAGCTCTTTTTTCAGAAGCGACCTGGCCACAAACGATAGCTCAACTCAGCGGCTTATCACGTGGTAATGTATAGCAGCCAAATACTCTCAACGTGTGAATGTGGAGGGAAACCCGGAAGACCCGGAGAAAAATTCACGCGACCACAGGGAGAGAGAGAGAGAAACGCAATCACCAAATATTCAGCAGGCGTCAGGGTCAGACCCACGACCTCCTGTATACGAGGCGAGGTAGCTAACATCTCGCCATCGTGGCACACCGATATTGCGTTGCTCCCTCGCACGCGTGGGTTTTCTCCAGGTGCTCCGGTTTCCTCCCACGTGTAAAAAAGAAATCATCCCACTCATAAATAGACTAGAAACATGAACATTTCAGAGGACTCCAGAACTTGGGCAATTGTTGGCTTTCCCGCTTGTGCGTGGCGATTGTGAGATGCGATCTGCACGAGCGAGGAGGCTCACGTGGCGTCTTTCAAACCCCTGCGTTGGGATTGTACGTGGGGTTTGGTCCGTTGAAAAGGTTGGGAACTCTTACACAAACACACGATTCATTTAAACGGTATGTGTAATTTGTAATTTGATATATATAATGATGACAATGCACTTGAACCAAACATCTTATCAAATAAAATGCATTTCTCATAGCAAGTATGTGTGTGTGTAGTGTAGCGGGGAGTGGTAGTGTAGTGCTTAGCGCACTACGAACCCAGCCACCCGAGTTCGATTCCCGCTCACGGCCAACACCATTGACGATTATCTGAACCAGTCCTGGGCCTCCCCTAGGTCGACTCTGCCTCAAATGAGTACCTGGTGCGGTGTGTAAACATCGGCACTGGGGAGACAAAGGCGGGCCGGGCGTGGTGCTGGCCACCCACCCCCTCGTGTGCCGTTC